CCACTGCTCAGGGGCTAGCTGGGCTCTGGTTGGGGGATGGTGAGCAATTGCTTGTGCATCACTTGTTATATACATTCACATATAGACATATGTATATAGACATAACCATCATATTTTCCCTTTCCTCTATCTTAGTAAATAGTTTTATCTCAACCCATAAGTTCCACTTTGTTGTCCTGATTTTCTCCCCCCATCCTACTGGGAAGGGGGAAATGAGCAAACAATTGTGTGGTGCTCAGACACTTGCTGGGTTAAACCACAGCAAGCAGTGAATACTACTGAAGACAACAGAAGGTGTGAACAGCACAGATTTCCACAGCACCTGTTCTGGTAGATAAAATATGTCTACCAGGAGATCCTTCGTCTTATAAGTAACCACCAAAGAATAGAGGGGAAGGAAGAATTGTCTGAAGACAGTACTGGGAAATGTAAATAAGTTTCAGAAGTGTTAGTGCTGTAAATAGAGAAGTCTTGTCCTTACCTGTGCGTAAGCTGCTGGCAGATTCCCATGTCCCCATACCAGTCTCTAGGCAAAGACAAGCTCCAAGCCCTGCCTGGCTAGCAGCAGCTCCCAAAGCCCAGGAGCCCACACCATCTCTCAGACAGAACAATCGCTGAATGCAAATGCACACCAACAGCAGGTCGTGGCTCAGTCACACTGAAGAACGAATGGGAATCATCTGTTGTCTGCATAGATCTAAAAACCACACTTACCCATATGAAATGCCACAAGCTGCCTTAAGCTGCTAACTACATCATGAAGCCAAGTCATCTTTTTCTTCTAAGGGAGAATCCTGCTAATCTTTTGCAAGGAGGAAATTGAAAAAGATGGGTGATGAAGTGAAGCTGTTATGCAGGTTGTCACAAGGTCAGTTAATACTTGCTGCTCACATGGCTTCCACCAGGGCAGTCACACTTAATTTTCCAATTGTAACTGCTGTGCCTATTGGTGAAGTAGCCATTATTAGGCTGTTCTTGCCCCCTGTCTAATTCTGGAATCTTAATTATATTTTTCCTTCTGCCTTTTGGTGCAGGTGCAGTGATGAGGTGGCATTAAGTCTGTTTCATATTTATTAAGCAGACTTGTTATTATCTTTTTTGTGTATATCTAAACCAAGAAATATCTTGAGATTGTTGAGGATATGCCTGGCGCCTTCTAGCCACTTACTGAGAGGGAGGAGCAAAAAGAGCAATGCTGCATTTCAGACGACAGCACAGGTCTTGCAGTCTGAGTGAGGCACAGGGAACAGGAGAGGAAGGAGGAAGGGCAATGGCAGGAGGATGGAGATCGTATCTGATTCTTTGGGCAATGATGACAAAGCCACAGCTGGAAGCACAGCCTGCAGCTGGAAACGCTGCCCTAAAATTTGGGTGGGCACTGGCAGCATCATCTTATTTTTCTTTCACCTCTTCCCCTCTTCTGCCTTGCTTTCATTCCTTTCTTCATCCTGCCACTCACCGTCCTCTGGATGCCTGGTGCCATTTCTGCAACTTCTATCCTGTTAAAGCACAGCATGCTGATCCCTTCCTCTGTTTTCCTTCCAAATGCTCCCTCTCGCTCCCTGTGTGATTGTTCACAGACCTCCCAGATCTCATTCTTGTATTTGTTCTCTTGAATCAGCTCTTCAAAAGCAAATCCCAATTGTGCTGAGCCTTAAATATGGAATAGGAGTAATTAAAGCAATGAAATAATTGAGGGATGACTTTGGTTTCTAACTTAGGCGCATCGGATGAGATCCTTGACACTTTATGTGGGAATGGGATTTTTCTCACTGTTTCTGAATTAATAGAAGGAAGTAATGTGATGTTTTCTAAAACACTAGATGAGGTGGAATGTGGGAGACGCACTCGGTATCTTTGGAAAGGGCAAGTTAATGAGCTTATAGTGCAAGATCTGCACATGCAGACCTTGTATGAACACAGACCACGTGCTTCAAAGTACTGATAATGGAGATGGTAAACACAGTGGTGATGCTGTAGAGGTGGGACAGGGCGAGGAGTGGAGAAGGAAAGAAGACCCTTGATAGCATTCCAGTGTGCTCTTGGAGTGTGTCCAGAGGAGGGATACTAAGATGATCAGAGGCCTGGAGCACCTCTCCTATGAGGAAAGGTTGAGGGAACTGGGCTTGTTTAGCTTGGAGAAGAGAAGGCTCTGGGGAGACCTGATCACAGCCTTTTAGTACTTGAAGAGAGCTCACAGGCAGGAGGGGGAACTGACATTTTAAACTATCCAATAGTGATAGGGCAAGAGGGAATTGTTTTAAACAGAGGGCAGGTTTAGGTTAGATTCTAGGAGGAAATTCTTCACTCATTGGGCGGGGAGGTGCTGGCACAGCTGCCCATAGAAGCTGTGGTGCCCCATCCCTGTAGGCACTCAAGGCCAGGTTGGATGGGGCCCTGGGCAGCCTGAGCTGGTGGGGGGCAGCCCTGCCCATGGCAGGGGGTGGGACTGGGTGGGCTTTGAGCTCCCTTCCAATGCAAACCATTCTGTGATTCAAGCAACCTGATATCAGACAGGCAGAGAAAGCACAAGTGTAGGACACCAAGGTATCAATAATTAGTCGCAGTTAAATGAGGGTTTCTCCCTCCTCCAGCACTGAGATTCATCTGGTTGGTAGCTTTTGTATTCAACCATCACGTTTCTAGGCCATTTAACACTGAGAATGAAAACTGCTATCAGAACAGTTTCTGCTCCTATCACGTCCTGGTCACTAGAGGACCTAGAGGCAGCTATCTAGAACAAGAGCTTTCAGGAGGGTTTGTAAGAAGGAACAATTAAACAGACTCCCTGACAAATTAGTACGTAAGATAGGCCACAGAAATACTCTGAAATGAGATTTGGAAAGTTAAAACTTTTCACTAAGTACTGAAATTCTTTTTCCCTTTGCAAATGCAAACCTCCTGTACAGAACATTTTTTTAAAAGCAAATATAAGTACATCCTGCCTTTGTCCCATCTTCAGTTGCTCAAGGTTCAAGCAGAAAAATCCATACTTATGTCAAACTCTGGCAGCTTCTAGCAGGACACTCCTGCGCCACATTGTATGAAGAGATTACAGTCTGTGACTTTCAGATAGAGGCAAAGAACTGACATGTTACTTGAATATGCCCTGTCCAGGTCAAAGAAGCATCAAAGAGATGCTCCTGAAGCTGCTGTCAGCCATAGTTCCTGCAAATCTCAAAGAGCCTCATTCTCTTCCAGAAATCGCCTTTTATTGAAATCTTCTGTATTACCTGAAAATTAAAAAACATCCCTTAAAAGCAGAGGCACCTTTTAGCTGTTTAGGTGCCACAGACGCTTTCGGATGCTTAAGCATTGCTTTCCTCTGGAGAAGATCTGATTCCACTCTAGGTCCAGTCTTGTCAGCAATGGCCTGGAACCATACAGCCAACCCAAACCCAGGCTGACCCTGCTGTGAGTCAGGCTCGGGCTGTACCGTATCTGGAGAACCCAAACAGCCCAAGTTTTCCTGATTTCAACACAACAGTGACGGTCAGCTACGCATAGACACAGCAGTGCCTTCAGGGTGTTACTGGCACTGACAGCATTGCTCCTGACTGCTATCAGCTTTTGAGGCACTGTTATCATCAGCCTCATTACCTACTGGAAACCTGTTGGTGTTCAGCCATCGGTGTCCCATTGGCAGCACCGGCCTTCTGACCTTGTGCTGTCCTGCAGCTAGGGCTGCTGGGTTTGGACTGAGCCCCTGGGGCCCATTGCTGCCAGAACAGTGATGCTCTATTGATTGCCTTGGAAGGAGCTGCCATCTGGGTGATTAGCATGGACTATTTTCCTCTGTCAGGCAAAACAGACTGAACTTTCACTGTGCAAAAGCCACAATTGATTCTTTTTGCCTTTTTCTTTTTGATGCTGCCTTTTTGCATTTCCATTTTTGTTGCAGTAATGCAATGAGGTAATGGCCTTAAGTTGCACCAAAGGAGGTTCAGGTTGGATATTAGGAACAATTTCTTCTCAGGAGGAGTGTTGAGGCAGTGGCACAGGCTGCCCAGGGAGGTGGTGGAGTCACCATCCCTGGAGGTGTTCAAGAAATGTGTGGATGTGACATTGAGGGACGTGGTCAGTTGGACTGGGTGATCTGAGACATCCTTTCCAGTCTTAAGGATTTTTTGCTTTGCAATCCTTCCAGCATTAGGCTGTACTCCAGTCTCTGCATTTCAAACACCCTCTGTAAGAGGCTTCCGAGGACCCCCCAAAACATACCCAAAAAGCCTTTGCTTCAGCCAAACAAATAAGCCAAGCCTGATGGGGCTGCAGGAACCTTGCCAAATGAGTGCAAACTGCGAAACAAGGAACCCTGTCAGTACAGTTTATGGTATTTCTACCAGTTACATGGTGAACAGCTTGTCTTCAGCATCCCACACAAACCCATAGCATCATTAGGACCACGTTCCCTAGCAGAAATTGCCCCAGGCTGCTGCCTACTTTATCCTCTGTTTCATGAGCAACAAGCAGCTCCAAGGAGATGAAGCTGAGCTCACAGCAGACAGACAGGATGCTCCCCCAAATGCTTGAACAAGGAGAGAAAAAAGAAAAAAAAAAAAAAAAAAAAAAAAAGGCAACACAAGAGTCTAAATTTCCAGAGAAGGCCAGAAAACTGCCCAGGCAGCAGGTTCAAAGCAGCTGAAAATCAGAGAAGCAGCACCTATTTTTTCCCACATATCCACTAGCATAACCATGGACTTAAATCACAGAAGAGATGACTTTGGCTCCATAGAGCACATTCTGGCTTCCCAAATCTTTAATGGCAGTGGCTGCTTTCACTGGAATACGTGAAAACATCCAGATTCAGTAAGATCTACCAGTGCTGAAGAACAACCCATTGGTCTTCATGAACACCACGCAGCTACTGAATTCAGCCCTTCCATTTGACCTCCTTGGTCTGTCAGACACTGAATGAGTTCTCTAACTGAAGAAATCCCTGTCCTTCACTCGGCCATTCACATCCCAATGCCTACGCATCCACGAATGAATAACAAGTGTAATTAAAAGAATTTTTATTACAAATTAACATATTTATACATTTGTACATCTCGCATACTGCTGTTCACCAACATAATCATTACTTCAGAAAGCATTAACAGTACAGATTTCCACCAGAGCAATTTAATGCAAGGGACTTAGTTTTATAATCAAACATCACAGAACATCATTACCTTTCTTTTGTCCTTTAAAAATAGCAGCACGTTTAATTATCAGTGCTCACAGGGCATAAGCTCTAACGTTTTGTACAGCAGGAAAAGAACAGTAGAGGCAATAGTAGGGCAACTCAATAAAGAGGTACTGGTTACAGTAGAGTCAGATCTAAGCAAATAGAGAAGGGTAATAAAATGAATTTACCTCTGACAACTGTAGAAAATAACATTTTTAATGTCACTTGGGATAGGAGTCATGACAAAATCTCCTATTTGCAGGACTAAGTAGACAGTTAGGATAATGCTTGCGTTTTCCAACATCTAATAGAGGTCTCAAAACATACGTACTCCCCATCCCTACCCCCACCTTTCCACAGCTGATGTTATTCAGGTTTCATGCTGTTGATGTGCTTAAGTGATGCTCAGGAACATCCAGAACTCTCCAGACTTACACCCACAACAATTTAGTGTTAGAACTGTGACACAAGTTAGAGCTTTTGGAACTTGGAATGTGGGCCCTAAGTACAATTTCCCCCTGTAGCCCAGAAGCCACAATGCTGCCTGAAGCAGCCTGTAGGTATGTGTGATGTGCTCTGCAAAACAGAATTTGTTTTCTCCCACACTTACAGCCCGTTATCCTTGTACTATTATTGATATGATACTTTTACCTCTTTAAATCATAGAAATTAAGATCAGAAATTCTCTGTAGTAAAGCATATGGCTATTCATTTGAACACAGCATCAGATTATGCACGTTTTTTTTTTCCTCCTTTTTCTTTTTTCTCTTCTTTCTGCCTTGGGGAGGGGAAAAAACATCACACGATGACACAGAAATTACAGGTAATTTTTATGAGCTGAAGAATGAATATATGAAAGCATGAAAGAATAGAGAGTGGGTTAACAAGTGCTTTTTGTATGCGTCAGCCACCGTGACAGAAGATGACTAAAAAGGTCAGAAGTGCAGCGTTTCTGTAATTAGAAATTAGGTGGTAAACGTGTTTATCTGTGGAAGCAATGGCATGAGAAACTAACCTCAGCTGCAGCACCCTGAATCACAGACACTCAGTGACATTAAAACAGAGATCTGCACTGCTGTTTGGATCTCAACACAAAAACTGAGGACACTTGTTGGCCAAAAAACCAAAGAAACAAAAATCCCAAATAAAGGTTAAAATGAAGAACTAGAAATATTTTATCAAGACCTGCACTAAGAAAAAATATTCTGCCTGAATCTCTCTTCCCCAAGGGCAGGTCTAAGAACTCCTAAAGATGGCATCAAGCTTAACCTCACAGAGCCTGAGAGGTGTAGTGGCTGCCCTGCCAGAGATGGCACTTCAGTGCAGTGCTTTCATGTATTTCCTGGCTATAACACAGATATAACACACACCACTCTGACACAGCCTACAGTCTCCTCTGGTTGAGTATTATCCCAGCTGTTGAAGTGCTGTACACACACTGCAACAGCATTTTTCACCTGCCATCTCCCTCCTGGGCCCTACCTCAGCCTCACACTCTTATTTGGCTTTTTCATTCTGCTATTGAGGGACTTACACATTAATTCATCCACACGAGTTCTAGCACACAATTTAACTGAAAAACATATAAACAAATGTTAGTGTTTTTCCATTCCACGTTCCTGGAGAGCTGAAAAGATCCAATCTCTCAAATCAAACAATAATTGCCTTGTTGGTCATCTGTGATTGCAAATCTGCTACCTTAGCACTGCTCACATTCATGTATTTCTTCTGTATGCAGAATTTATTTCTGCAATATTTTAAATCAAAAGTAAAAACCTGAAGAAAATCTGTAAAAGATGAAAAAAATATTAAAAAAGATGCATTTTTTTCCACACAACAATTAATTATTCTCTTAATGATCTGAATAACATGACCTCGATTCCATTGCAACACAAGTTGACAGAGTTCATCACTACTCCATGGCCTGAATGTCTTAACATGGAGACTGATGTCTGCTTTATCACCTCCCTGTTAGATGGAAACGGAGCACACTGAGGATGCTCACAGCAAAAGGAAGCATCTATGAATGGTGTGCCAACGAACACAGCAGGCTTCTCCAACCTTTCTAAAGCCTCTGCCTCTACCAGCAACTATTTTGAAGACACAGAACTAGAAATTTGTCATTGCTGTTTGTACACAGGTTGTTCAGAAATCAGGAATACAAGATGCAGAACCTGCTCCTATCAAGGCTACACAGGAGAATCACCTGTACCACAAACCAAAAATGAGATCGAATGCCTTTTGGAAGGTGCTTTCCATCAAATTTGTCTTTAGTGTCTGGGCAGAGGGAGCTGCAAAACTTAATTATTTTCTTTAAACTCAATACAATAGGTATGCTTTTCTGATTTCAGACTCAGGAAAAAAGAAAGGTCCAAAGGACTTTTACTTCCAAGACAAAGAAACGGATATTTCCTCCCCGCTCCCCCACGATGTAGTCTGGTTGCCCAACTCTGGACTGCAACTGCACTGAAAAAGCTGTTCCATAAGCCAACGTTCTGTAACAGGAGATCTCTTCTGAGACCATATCCAGAAGATACCATGCAAATAACCTGCTCTGCTGAAAGTCTCAACTCTGATTTGGAACACTAAAGCAGTAAGCAGCCTACTGGCAATCTCAGCTGCATGCTGTTCACTAAGCTTAGTATTTATTAACTTATAAAATTAAATGAAATGCTTTCACTTTGAAATACTATTTTATTTGAATCACTGTTTCTGAGCCTCTCCTGTGGAAAGCTGCCCATCAACTGCTTTAAAATGGCTGAATGGTTTATCATGGCAATTCAGTACAAGTTTTGCTGCTGTCTGAAAAGCATTAGTTTACAGAACATTTTGCAGAACGCAACAAATTCAGTATCTCTGTAGTGCACCTTTGTAGATTTCTTCCCAGTTATGCCACTTTCCCATGAACTTGATTGCACAAAGTCATCCACAGGTATTAATACCTATTCCTGTTGAGTTTCAGTCAGCCTAAGTTATAACAAACATTTAAGCACAACCTACACAATTCCACATCAGCTAACATCCTTTATCCTCCAAAGAAACCCTATGATGATATAAGATAAATTTATTCAACTGTATGTACAGTATATTTGCATATTAATAAATAAATCAATATTAAAAATTTCTTCCCCCATAAAAAAGTGTCTACAGACCGACCAGATAACCTGACTTCATCTCTTCATCCAAGTACAGCTGTGTGACCAAGGCTATCAGTTTCCACTCGGTTTACTACAGTAACCATAGGAGCAGAAAATTAACAGGCTAGTGCTTAACTTTATACAGCAGAGAAGAGGGGAAAGAAATAAGAGTATGAAAAAGTGCAAAAGCCTACAACTTGTAGAGCAAAGAACGTGTTCATTATGTGATCCTGGGGAAGAGAATCCAGCCCAAAAGAGGATGTGCTGCAGCAAACATCATAAGCAAAGTGTGCTTTTGTCCTGATAGTCAGCTGCACGATGCCAGTCTTGTGTAATGCTCCAAGAATTCCTACTCCAACAGATACCACCTCCACCTTTACAAATTCATCAACACCACGTTCAGTGCAAAGTGACACGTCTGAAAATAACGGTTTACCTTGTCTCCACAACATTCATCCTTACTGTGGAAAAAAAGGCTCACTTCCTTTGACTCTTATTACTATACACACAAGTCTGTATTTGCACCTCTCCATTTCTGGTAGTGAATTTTTTTCCTCTATTTACATTCATTAGAAACTGAGAAGGCAATTGGCCATATTTTATATTGACTGAAGTCCTCCCAGTGACCCAATGACTATCTGTTCATCTTCATTTATGCTTAAAGTAGCTGCACTTGTATTTTATTTTTTTCCAGTCCGTTTTCAGTGTGATATAAGCCATGGGAACCTCTGGGATCTAGAACATATTTCAAGTCTCACTGCTGGAGCTGGAAGAGTGAGGAGTCACATTTGAGTTCAGATGTCTGTTTGCAGCACAGTGTGTGTGGACCATACCCCCGTTTGGGTATCTTACAAATGCAGGCTCACAGAAAGGATTTTGGCACACCTGACAGACCTTTTTGTCCGAAAGAAGAATTGGAGTTCCTTTATGTTTGACCTAAGGAGGAAAAAAAAACCAAATCCAAATATGAATCTAGCAATGAATGAAGTCAAATTAAGATACAGCAGGAAAAAAGAGCAACACTTCATTGGTTACACCTGTGCCATTTCAAATGTACCAAATTGATGGCAAAGGTAGCTTGAACTATTTAATGTGAAATTCAGTCATACTAGCTTGTTCCTGTGCCTCACATAGAATGGCACTCACATGTAATGCAACTAAAACCTCAGTACAACTTGCTAAACAAGAACACGACTTCACAGCAAACGGAGTATTGTCAAATTCTTATTGCAGACAGATTCTGCTGGATAAACTTTCATTAGAAGGAAACAGATTTAATCATACCTAAGAAAATTTTAAGTAACACTGCCTCACAGCAAGGAATAAAATACTCCACAAGTGGATTTAATAAAATCAAAAGCTATTAGTAAGCTTTAATGCCAAGTGTTGCACAAGCCTTACTGCAACTACTGACATGACCCAGTTCAAGCAAAAAAAAAAAAAAAACAACCCAAAAATCAGTTGTTAAAAGTTCTGGAAGAAATTCATAAATCTGAAAATCCCAAATGTATTTCCATTCAGCCCACAAGTTCAAAGTTGTTCCTTTTTCAAATCCCCACCTCCCCTTTTGTTTTACAGAAGCGTAACATTGACTCTAGTAGCCATCACAAAAATGTAATAAATGCAGCAATTAAAACTGCCAAGGACTTGGAGTCAACTTTGTCCTAACTCTTAAAGAACCTGATTATAATTAAATCCTCAGATTCACAATACAACTTCAAAGTGCCTCTATTAAAGACAAAACAACAAAAACCCTACCTTCTCATATTTGTAGATCAAGTTTTCGGCTTGTGCTAACCCAAGTGCAACCTGAGTCATTCTTTTTGTATGAATGCTTTGCCTCACTGCTCCGGCCAGGAATGGAGAGAGGAGCTGCACTGACCAGCTGTCAGGCACCAGCTGCAAAACCAGAGCTGCATCAAACTCAGCAGCATGGTTATTCAAGAGATCTACAGCAGCCATGACCAGTGCACAATCCGAAGCGTCTGGATTCAGATATACTGACAGCAGCATATGGAAGAGCCTCTGCCTGTACTGCAGATCTCTGTTCTCAGAGTTCCATATGCAGTATTCTTCAGCAGCACGGAAATCCTTTAACTCATGGACAAGGATACGCAAAGCCTTCTCGTGTTCTTCTAGTTTTCCATATAAAATTGCACTTTCCATGTGAAGGTCTGTGCCACGGATTTTGTCTGTTAAATGAGAAATAAGGTCATGTTTGCTCAGTGGAAAAGACTGCTACTTTCTCTTCCCAGTTCAATCCAACAAGTCCATAGAGCTCAACTTCCACTCACTTTGCAGAAAAGCAGGCAGCTCTATACTTTAAGACAAGAATGCACAGATGTACGGAATCAAGAGCACCACAAAATAAGGAAGAAGAAATTACTAAGCAACAAGTGATAAAACTAACATCTAACTGAGATGGAATTGTTTTCAGAGTGTCTGGTGGGATATGTTTTGGTTCTACGTGAAAAACACTGCTGATAACACACCAATGTTTATGGCTGTTGTACAGCAGTGTAGTACAGAGCCAAGGCCATTCCATTTCTCAGCAATTGGGCTGGGAGGAAACAGAATCAGGACAGCTGACTTAAAGTGGCCAAAGCGATATTCCATATCATATGGCATCCTGCAGAAGGAGAGTCCTGAAGGGTGTGGGAGCGCATCTCTCTCTTCTGCTTGCTGTGGAGCTAGCTGAGCGTTGGTCAGTGCATTGGTGAGCAACTGCTTGTGCATCACTTGTTATACATTCATATACAGACACACACACACAGAGTCATAACTATTACCTTCTTCTTTTTTTCTTTTTTTTTTTTTTGAGAGAGAGAGAAAGAGAGAAAAAAGTAAAACCCAAACCCAAATCAACAAAAAAATCTACGCCTCAAAAAAATTCCATGACAACAGCTTAAAGTCTACAAGAGAACTGAAGATCAAATAGTGTTCCCTTTCAAGAAAAAGACATTATAAACCCTTAATCCAGTCTGGCTGCCTAATTGTAAAAGTTAACAAAGTAGCTTTTTCCCCACAGAATATTTTGTTTATTAAGGAGGAACAATAGCAGCATTAGAGTGATCCCATCTTCATGAAAAAAAAAATTCTTTCATGCAAGAAATCCTGCATTCTGGAGTACACTGGCTCCAAGAGAATAATCCATCTTGTAAATCTTGCTCTTAAAAATTAGGTTAAAAATAAAAGCACAAATAAAAGGAAGATCTTCACTGACTGTATTGTGCTTGTATATTACTTGTCATACAATGCTTTGCTGACTGGAAAGGCAGAGGGACAGTAAATGTTGGTAAGTTATTCCAGCTGTTACTCACCAATTTTTTATTTCTACCCCCACTGGATTTTTTTCATCAAATTTCAGAAAATAATTCACATCTTGCAGTATAAGAACAAGTTACTTCCCTTTCATTCTTGGGAAGTACATTAAAAAATAGCCAGAACAGCACTGGCCAAGGAAACATTTAACTCAGTTGTCACTGTTATGATGACACTAAGATATATGTTGTCCTTCTCACTAAAAGTGAGGATCCTCTTTTTTTCTGACTAGCATGAAATCATGAATTTGTTACACGCAACAGAAGTCCTCAGAAATCTCTGCAAAGCTTTGCTGTGCTTCACACTAATTGAGAAACAGACTATTTAACAAATAAGATTGTAATTCTTCCATTTGCAAACGACTTTCACAAGTCACATGTTCTTCTTTAAAAAGAAACTGAGTATAAAGTAAGATACTGCACGAAGATACTTTTCCTGTCTAGTCATGGTGTTCCATGCCTTGTGCGGTGGCAAACGTATGGCTCTATTTCACAAACCCCAAGATCAAAGGCAACAGTAACAGCTGCTGCCTTTGCTGAACCAGCTTGTGTTTGAAAAGGACAAACCTATCAAGCCAATATACCTGGATAGTAGGAAGAAATAACTGTGAGTGTGGTAAGACATGGGAACAGGTTGCACAGTGAGATTGTGCATTCAAGGCCAGGCTGGATGGGGCTTTGAGCAATCCAGTCTAGTAGGAGGTGTCTCTGCCTATAGCACGGAGGGTTGGAACTAGGTGACCTTAAAGGTCCCTTCCAGCCCAAACCATCACGTTGGTTCTATGATATCCCAACTATTTCCACTTTCCATCTTTATGAGGACTTAGTAAATACAGTGTGTCAGTTCCAGCAGAAAGCGAAATTACAGAGAAATGCATCTTACCCAAAATGAAGTGAATTCTATAAAGATCAGACTTCTGAAGAAGGCTGCGTAGTTTCAACAGCAGTTCAATCGTTTCCGCACAGTTACCTGTGGTCCCAGATTTTAGCTGAAGTATTGCCTCCAAATACAAGGCAGCCAGATGAGTGTGGTACTTCTCTTTCTACAGATGAAATACACAACGTTAGCTCAAGTTCACAAAGACAATCTCCCCACCAATAACATTTCAATTAATATTTACGTAATTCCATACAGATGTTTAAGTTCATTCATTTTAATCAAATTATTCAGAAATTTGTAGTTCATGCAGTGAACTTATTCAGACTAGCTTCACAAGATAGGACATGCTATGCCTACAGCTATGGGTTCTCTATCTCAACAATGCAGATATTCCTGAAAAAACAGATGACATCTTATTTGTAAGCTCCTCTTTACCTTAAACAGACAAGCTCAACTGTTTGATTTTTTTTTGTGCAAAAATTATTTCCTTTCAGAAGTCCAATTGCATTAGAACTGATCTCTCCCCTTTGACTACAAGCATGTTCTATGTAGTCTTCTCCTCTTATTTCTCAATAAAAGTCTAATTTTGACCTAACACAGTTTTCTCTATATTTAAGTACGTTCTTTTAACTTTTCCATTTCTGCAGTAAAATCTGAAAAAGCCAGAGGCAGGTAAGTGTTATTTGTTATGTCACAGTCATCAATACCAGCTGATAACCTGACTACTGCTTGAAACATTCTCACACAGCACTCACAATGATCAAGTACATTCTGAAGAAATAAATGTATAACTCAGTATTTAATAACAGGCAGAGCAGATTTAGTTATAAATTAGTTTTGCTAGAAATATTCTACAAAACTAACTTCAGAACTTCATTTGAAATTATGCATGACATAAAGAACTAGTACATTCACTGGTCAGTATCATAGACCTTGACTATCTGAAACTGCAGCAGAGAAAAACCATTGGTTTAGCATGTATGTTTTAGGAATGTAAATTCAGTAACTGGTCTATTGAATTTCTTCAGTGTTCATTTCTTTTCATCATTTTCAGGCTAAAGCAGTTGCAATTTCTTCTGTGTCTAAAATGCCTCATATCCAAGTACCACAATACTTTCTTGTTTAAAATAAGAATATACTGTCTACACTGTCACTTCTGACTAGTGAACACATTTTTTTGGACATTCAACATTTAGAGATGCTTTATTCTACAACTGTAGGAATTCTACAGTTAAAGATGCATGTTTTGATTCTATCACTTCTGAAGATCTCACCAAAAGGACAAGCTGAAATCTATCTATATTATAAAGTAAGTTTGGATGTTTGAAAATGACAAATGGCACTCAACAAGGGAAAAAAAAATAAAGTTTTCCAGCAATTGATATGCAGTCAACTCTGACAGACTGAACACACCCTTGTTTCACCTTCTCCTGTGCACTTTGCAGGTATCTCAAAGTTTTATGTGTTTACAACTCTTCCAGGATGTACTGTTTAGTCTAAATGAATGCCACTCTGAATAGTAGCAAACATACCCAGGAAATTTTCATCTAAAAATCCTAAATCACTGTTTGTGGAAGGAGTGTTACACAGAAAAGCATGCAACGATCAGATGCAAAAGTAAGCAATTGTTTTGCCATTGTGAGAGTTGAAAAAGATAAAAAAAACCCCAGAATATAGATCACAGCTTTCTGTCTCCTAGTCTCCATAAAATACACAGAGTATGGAAGGCTTAATATCCAAATGCCTTAAATTATGCTTGTTTCTTCTAGATTTTGGCTTGTTTCAGAGTTGTTCATCACACGTATAGGGTTTAGCATGCAGACTACTTTTGGTATGGCTGTAGGACTCACCTCTATTTTTCTTTCCAATACGAGATGTTCCAGATACTTAATACGTGCTTTAGGGTATTTGTTAAGGCAACTGATGATATCATCTGGATTCATGTTGTTCTTCTCTTGCTCTTCCAAAGGTCTTTTAGTAAAAACCTGCACTCCAACCTAAAAATAGATAGTTGCACTTAGGAACTCAATGACAACCATTTTATTATCATTTCAATATTTACTTAACAGCACTATCAGGTCAGTTGGCACATTAATCACAAGACAAACAATGCAAAACTGCCCCTCATACCACTGAGATTACACTACTTTGTGCTCAATGTGATCGTACCCACTCCTATGTCCCTTACCTCACTCAGCAGTCTGTGCATTGCCATGCATATGAACCTTTTGTTGAGCACACCCTACACCAGCTACAAGAAGTACTGAACAGATCAGCACAACAGAGGGGCAATTTACTGCAGAGGACTGAAGTCTAAGTTGAAGATCCGGATATGTACGGGTTTCTCTCTCTGTATCATGACATTTGATACATTTCTACAACCATCAAAATCAAAGTTGAGAAATCCGGCACAGAATAACCAAACTTCAAATTAATACTGATTTGGTAATGACAAATTCCACCAGCACAGGCCAATACAGCATAAAGCATGCCTCTTCACAGCACACTAACATACTACAGAATTGCATTTTTGCTTCTGCTGGAAGAAGTTTTTCTATTGTTGTTTTTAAGCAATGAGATGTTGTGCTGAATGAAGGCTGTTTATTCTACAGCCCAGTGTAAACAGTACCCTTCACTGGAATTTGTTTGTAAGGAAAAGCAGCAGCAGCAGCTAACCTTTTAAATGAACTTTTTTTTTTTTTAATAAAGATGTGAAAATATCTTAGAAATGTGAAGAAAACAAGTACACCAATCACAAACCTCTTCATTTTTTTGTAAAACCCATTCGGAGTATTTCCACACCAAATCCTGGTCTGAGCAGAACGTCAGGAAGTCTACCACATATTCGTAGAGATCTGAACGTGTAGAGTCTTCAATGTCTCCATCAACTATTTGCACCCATAACTGACAAAAAAAAAAAAATTAAGAAGTATTTAAACATTCTTCACTCAAAAAGTATACAAAGCATAACAACACTTAGCATTACCCATTGGTAGGCATGCAATTTAAAAAGGTTCTACAAACACTAAGTGTAATGGACCTCATTGGTTACTGAATTCATACTTCCTCTCCATCATAGCTTTTCTTATACCTGCCAGATTCAACTAATTCAGTCCCCATAATGTGTGGTTTTCACCATCTGAGAACAACCAGCAGAAGGACAGGTAGGATTTTATGATGATTTACAGTTGACACTCAGTTGACACTATAGTAGCAGTAGCAGTTGACGCTATAAAGCTCTATACCAACCTGAAGTGCTGCAGCATCTTGACCATTGTAGTGATACAGGAGACCAAGGGCAAAATACCTGTATGAAAATAGAAAACAGTATTAAAATTGATAGATTATTCCTATCAATTTCACTATGCTTTGATTAGCATAGAACCTAATAAATAGTTGCTTACAGTGGGATTTCTAAGTGACATGCACGTGACCAAGACTACATTCAAAGGAGAGAAGTTTTTCCCCAGTGTTTCTGTGTCATTCCTCTCTCTAAAAACAGTTATAAATTACTAACTCTAGTTTAAGTGGTTACAAAACACTTGTCAAATCAGAGATGATTCTTATGCTGTTCTCTGAATTTCATGTACAGACCTAACAAGCTCTAAATAATAAGCATTCTGCTAACATTTAATCAAGTGCAATTATAATGAAATATATATGCTGCTTTTATTTAAAAATTTAGTTTTGCTATCAGAAATACATTTTTCTTTACTGCACCATGAAATCAAGTTAGGCCAGGAAGAACCTCACACAGTACCATTACATATTGTTTTTTGTGTACTGTAATACAAATGAAGCTCAAGTTCTATAACGACTATTCTCACAAAACTGTTATGCATTTCACATCTGCAAAGGCTTGCCATGCAAAGTGTACATGCCAAGAGCACTCAATAAAACACCTGAATTAAATCTAATCACAATTAAAGACCGCTCTTCACAACTGTACTTGCTACTATACTGTAGCTGCTGTGTATTTGGGGCAAGAAGGAAAAGCTGCCTTTGAATTTTGAACTCAGTGTGTTCCTACTGTTTTGCTAAAGGGTTACTGTTTAGGATCACAGAATGGCCCAGGTTGGAAGGTGCCACACACTTTAAAGGCTGAAGAAATGAAATCAAAAGACAAAGGCTATCTATGACTGGAGTGATTTTAATTTTTTTTTTCCCCCAATTAATTCTCTTTCCATTGCCATTTCCAAATTGAAGTAATTTTCAAGTATTTGTGGAGGTTGGTGCCCTACCTGTGGCAAGTGACGGGGTAGGGGAAGGGTTGGAGATTCATGATCCTTGAGGTCCCTTTCAACCTGGGCCATTCTGTGATTCTGTGATCCTAAATAGCATCCCTTTGGCAAATCAGAAGGGGCACACTGAGTTCAAAATTCAAAAGCAGTTTTTCCTTCTTGCCCCAAATACACAGCTACAATTTTAAAGCTACTAGTTACATAATAGCTTCTACCTAAAATACAGCGTGTTTTGAGGCAACTTCTCATTATGTCCTAGACATTTAGGACTACTACTGCTATTGCATCCATTCAGCTCTCACACTATCACAAGGGCAAATAAATTGCTTTTTCCCCATTGAGATCCATACCAATACTCATTTTTGCACTGGACACAGTTTCAAGGGGAAAACTCTGTATTCCATCAGATATCTTTACCTTTGATTGTTAAGGCCTTCCACCCCAAGTTTGGGGATTTTTACAAGTCAGGCCAAATTGGCTTTTGTACATTAAGTCAGAAATACATCACTCTGGAAGTCAACAGCTTTTTAGGTCAAGCATTTTTCTTGCTGGTCTCAAGGGTGCCATACTCAAAAAATCTACTCACTTTTTGTGCTTTTCCAGCCATGCAGCACTATCAGTCAGAAGACAAAAGTTCTCTGAAACCAGCAGATCCAGCAGGCTTTCATGATTTGCCTCTGCGTATAACTTGAGCAAAGCCGTGTCAATATCTTCCTTGTAGCCATTTGCAACCTCAGTGCTGCGGACTTCATTCAAGTAACTCATGAGAAATCGTTTGCATTTTATCATCTTCTCCTGGTCCCCTTGGGTCAGCTGGTTTAGGTCAGCATACTCATGCAGTGGAGGATGAGACCGTATAAATGAAGAGGAAGTAGGCAACAGGAAGGGGTAGAGAGAGATCAGCTCCCGGACATCAAGCTGGCCGCTTCTGCAATTACAGTGTCAAACTAGATGAAGCAAAAAGAAAGAAAAAGTATACATAGGCACAAAAAAATAACATTCTGGGCATGTGTGCACGTATGCTTAGAGGCAGGACACCAACAGGTCATCGGTTTCTGAAAGTTATTGCCTTCTGCGTCAAAGCAAGTATCAGAACAAATTTGGAATTTTATTTTTGATATTTTTGTATTTCTTTTGTATCTCTACTAGATTTCTGAGAATTCAGAGACTGTCCAGTCTTCTGCTTTTGATATATTACAGCTGTTTGGTGGCATACCAAAAAAAAAAAAAAACCAACAAAAAAAAATCATCTCAACAGCTTCAGGGACTGGGACAAGTTCCTGAGACTGTCCTAAACTTCATCAATAATACACCTGACAGAGGCAAAAAAAAACAAACCAAAACAAAAAACCAAACCAAACAACAAGCAGTAAAAGGTTGTAGGAAAGCCAAAAAGACTGTGCAAATGTTGCACACCATAATACAAGTATGTTACCCTATATAGGTTTTCTCTACCACATCCAAGAAAGTCCTCAAGCAATGGAAAAGACAATCTTATGAAAGAATAACATCAGAATTTGGTCCAAATGTGGCAAATATCTCCCTCATTTTCACACTTAGAATGATAACACCTGCAAGGCTTTGTTTTAGAAGAGCAACAAGAAATCAAGATTATATTTTATTTCTCTGTCAATTCATTATTCAGAATTCACCTTCAGAGACTAGCTTTCCTGAAAGGCAGAAGATACTGTTGTTGAAAAAAATAAAAATGAACTTCAAGTTCGCCAGAAGAAACCCTGTTTATTTTTTTCTTCTCCACAAACAAAACTTAAGATGTTTTTATCTATATCTATACAATAGTCAGCCTCAGGAAAGACTTTCCCATTCACAAAACTGACTGGAAAATTCTAAAAGGAAACTAGTTATAACCATGGAACTAAATGGAGCAGGAACATTTTTTTCAATCCATTGGCAGTAACTGTGAATGATCACAGAATTACAGAATGACTTAGGTTGGAAGAACCTCACAGCCCAGCCATCCCATCTCCTGCCATGGGCAGGGCTGCCTCCCACCAGCTCAGGCTGCCCAGGGCCCCATCCAACCTGGCCTTGGGCAGGGATGGGGCACCACAGCTTCTCTGGGCAGCTGTGCCAGCGCCTCACCATCCTGTGAGTAAAGATCCTCTCCCTAATATCTAATATTAGTCACCCTTCTTTCAGTTTAAAGCCATTCCCCCTTATCCTATCATTGTCTTTCCACATAAAGATCTGGGCAATCTGTTCTCATGGTCTTTGCTTGAGCAGGAACCTCCTAAGGTCCCTTCCAACCTCAACCATTCTGCTGTTCAGTGAGTCTACGAAATGGCTTAACCTCTCATCTATTGTTCTGAAGTAATTGAAGTGCTGAAGGCATGCCCCAAGTTGTTCACTTCTGGCCAAAGAAATAATCCCCAAACCATTCAGAAAACATGAACCAGTAAGAAACACCACACTGTTAACAACTACTTAGAACATGAAAAGTATGATTTAAGGATGTCCATAGGCTATTGAATCTGTACCAGAAGAGTAAAATTCTGGGAGACAGCAGCAATAGCAAGGAATTTAAGAGCAGTAAGCAAACATCTTGTTTCAGAGCCTAGAGCCTGCAAAGCATGGAAACAGCAACATCAGTAAGAGAAAATAGCAGAATTTGAACATAGGGAGCCTTCCTGTAAAGAGAGGCTTTATAGAATCATACATATCTATAGAACCATAGAATGGGCTGGGTTGAAAAGGATCTCAAAGATCATCTAGTTTCAACCCCCCTGCTAAGTGTAGGGTCGCCAACCACCAGACCAGGCTGCCCAGAGCCACATCCAGCCTGGCGCTGAACGAAATGATTCACACACTACTGCCAAAAAAGCTCAATCTCTACACTAGAAAGGGCAGCTTCTAATAAGAGAAACGTCCACATCTACTCTGCTGATTCCTGCAGTTGAAATTTCCTTCTAATTCCTCTTTCTGGGTTTTGCATTTGGTTTTGAAATTTTTAGATCCACATTATGGTGACCTCACCCATTATGATGAATTCAGCAATAGCCTATGTTATAGCAATCCCCAATGTTAACAACATGTAGGTTAATTTGTAGGTTATAGTGGATAATATGATGCTAGCAGTAACAGTCTGTCAAACCAAACAAGTCCTGTGGTGACAGTTCATTTTAAGGTTAAAAGTTTCAACTAAAGAAAAGAAAATCTTCCCTCCCTCTGTTCAGCTATTAGAGTTTAAATCCAGCTACCACTTCCTTCCTTTTTGTCAATGTTAGTCAGTACTTGGAAGCATCAGCATAACCAAAAGGAACTTAGTAGGAAAGAATTCCTCTTAAAAGTTTCAGCCTCTAAGAACTATGACTTTAAGAATAAGATAACTATTTTGACAAGGTTAACCAAGGATTACTGATATGAGAAAATGAGACTTAGTCCAATGTAATTATTTCCTGTTTAATCTGTAACTCATAGATGTTTCCTGAGAAACCAGCCAAGCTGGCTACAAATTTGGCCAGCAGCAGATCCACACCTCACCAGTTTCTTGAAGCTTCTGCTGCTACTGTTCCACTGCTAAATCATCTCTTCCTCAGACATATATCAAGCGGCCCTTCAGCATTTTAAAATAAATTATTTCTGACTAACACCAACTTACACCACCTGCAGAGCAATACAAGCAGATAGGGGAGTATTTGCATAGACTGTCACTATCATTTTTCCTACAAATATCAATAAAAATATCAATTACTTGGACTAGGTATGATGGCCATGGTTAAAAAAAAATAATAATCATCATCAGGGAAACTGCATTCTGTAAGAGTCATCCAAATACACGTACACACACACACTTATGTGTAGATAGTGAGAAATGATACTTATTTTTGTTTTCTCCTCACCACAAAGATTTTATCAGTTCATGAAAAGCTGTTCTACTTTGGAGTTGCAACTTTGAGAGAAAGGGAACGCTCTGGGATGCTGACCCAGCTTCAAAATTCATGCTCAGACAGAAAGTTTTCTCATGAAACAGTTTTTCTGTAAAGGAGCTTGCACAACACTGAAACTGAATCACTGAAACTTGCTTGTCAGATGGACCATCAGCTGGATAGGTGCTGCATAACTGAACTGGGCTGTTCCATCTCCCTTCCACTCACAAGGTGCCAGAGCTCTCTGCAGGACGCACTTCCTCTTTTTCATTGCTATTAAAGACCTTGAAATCACTGCGAGCAAGAATAGACTGTAGGCAATCAATGACAGGAATTTTGGGTAAAGGAATAAAAGAGTTGAGGTTGAAGGGACAAACCATAGTTAAGATAGCTGCACTGCTATAGAATCCTGGCCACACACACCTAACACACCTAGACAAGGAATAAACATTACAGCTAGTTCAACCTCAAACCATTTTATCACAGCCGGCCACAGTAAAAAGAAGTCTGCTGGAAATCAATGTGGAAAAGTTTAGTGGAAATTTTGTAAAGGATTCTTTACTTCATAGACCTTTTAATTCTGCTTAAGATACACGAGACAGCAAAGATTTAGTTCCAGTGTTTGGAAGATCACAGGGAGGGAAACTGTAAGTTGCTTACTATTGCCAAAAATTACAAGGTAATACAGACAGGGGTCATGGCCAAACCAAATTGCTCAAATGCTGTTCAGGTCTTTCTTGTCATTCTCCAGTTTCCACTCTGTCTACACTGCCCATTCTAGCCCTGTGTTTCCCATTATCCTGCTACACTGGAGACAAAATGTAGAATTCCCTGTCTAGTAGTAACTTCTCCCAAAGGTTCACTTTCCTAGAAACATTTCCATTAATCCAAGAGCAACTCTTTTTCCTATAATGTAGAAGTCTACTACCAACACACAGTCAGATTACAGAATTAGAGAATTCAGAATCAGATTATAGAATTACAGAAACCTTAACACTGCTGGACATTAGCATACAAGAAAAAAAAAAACAAAACCAAAACACCAAACAGTTGCATTAACTCTTGAAATACAAAGCTGTTTCAATCTTACTCTGCATTTTCCCCTAAGCAAGTCATTTTATCACGTGATTTCAAAAAATACTCAGGAGACCAAGTGTTTTTAAAGCCAGTTATGCTAACCCCTTATTTAAAGATAAGTTACTACATTTCTTGTCACACAATTACCTGAAGAGTTCTTTTGCTTCAAGGAACTGAAGCTGTGCAAACTGTATAAAACCTGCTTGCTGCAAAATTCGTTTGTACATTACCTATAAAAGAGAAGGAGGAAAAACTATTATATTTCTAAGGAGTTATTCACATGATGCCAGTCAGAGCTGTAACAAGTACATCATAAAGACACTGAATACATGGCTTCCAAATGGAGCCATTAAGTAACATGCGAAAATAATATCATGATATTAAATTGTATGTACCCACATATACTCTGAATCTGCTGCCCAGGCTGAGTTACATTCACAGATGTGTGTAAACACAACACCATCCACAAAAACGTACTGAAAACAAATCCACAAATAGCAAATTCAGGGTTTCTTACTCAGACACTGGCTCATCTAACACCAGTCTGACCTGCCTCAAGTTCATGGTATTTACAAATGGCCAATGGTTATCTTTAATGTTCCTGTAATTCACCAGACAAAAAAAAAAAACAACTCAAGGGTCCCAGCTGAACACACACAGCCAAACTTTCTCCTCTTCTGACCACACTTCTCCTGCCACCTTGCTGGTGATTTTCACAGCCTCTTTCCCACTTGATAACGATATTTCTGATTTTCTGACAGATTTCTGTTGTTGTTGTTGTTGTTTTTAATTAACAGATACTTTTAAAGCAGTTCAATTTATCAAATATAGAATACATCACGAAATGTACATAAAATATGCTTTAAAAGGAAAGCATAAGTAAAAGCACAACGAAAGCAATAGCAATGTGTTACAGTTTTGTTGTTACGATCATGCCTAGACAGAAACAAGAGTTTACAGAAGAAAAAAAAAAAATCACTAGAAAAAGAACAACTCTGCTTTAAATACTAAAATGGTATTTTTTGGTTTTTTGAATCTGAATGGTGAATTGGTTATCATTAGATTAAATGTAGCTCAAATATTTCCAATGGCAAAAAGAAAATTGCTGAAAGGAACCTCAACTGTGATATGCAAAATATCCACCACTTGAGACAGCACAAGTGCTTTGTGAATACAGCTAGCCACTTCCAAATGCTCTCAACTTTACCCTTCAACTTTATCATGAATATGCAGTTTTCTGACATCAAGCAGAGTACGAATGCTGTTATGAATAAGAGTTCCATTTTCAGTGAGAACAACCAGAGAAATTCCAATCCATTCAGGCACACAACTCAGGCATACTTCAAGCAGGGTAGACTGATATTCCAACCACTGATTTTTCATCTTGATTAAAGACTGAGGATGTACCAAGAGAAATTCTTGGCTTAAGTCCATTTAGTTTGTGCATACACTACTAATGGATTATCCTAAGGAAATACTTATCCTTGATCATCAATGAACCATTACAACTACTGATTTGTAGAGTACTGGGACTTTTCTTGCCTCCCCAGTGTTGGGGGTAGAAGGGTAAATAAAGGGACATGTTATCTGGCACATCTTCTCAGACAAATGCTATGATAAAAGGGAACTTAATTAGAGCAATCAAGTAAAACTACCTCAGATGATAATGCATACATAAAAAAAAAAAAAACCTCCAAATATCTTAGATTTGCAATTGTGTTACTATACCAGTGAATTGAAATCTGTCAGCTTATGAATAGCTGTCTGGTAAGTGCCTGAGGATGCAGACAGGTGCTGGTAAAGGATTTCGACCCACATCTTATTGTGCCAAAAACCTTCAAAATCTGACCTCAGGCTTGCTAGGGAGGGCCAAAGAACAAACACTGATCAAGCTGCTAGAGAAACCAACATTAAAGTTAGGGGTTTTTGGAAATCCATTTTCAATTTTTCCAGCCAATGGACCACTAATTTTACACATTAGGAATTAGAATATTAGAGTTAAGTTTGCCTTGATCTAACACACTGAAGGCCCTGCCTTAACTGTACGGCTCACTCTTTACAGCAATCTTCACAAGAGCTTGTTGACAGTTTAAGTGTAGGCCTAAGAAATCAGCTTTAAATTTAAAACTGATTAAGTGGTATTCACTTTCTCTAATGTATCTTCACTCATTCCTTTGTTATCCAATTTCAGTGGACATCTCCAAGCGGATGCTTCTACAACTTTAAAATATACACTGATAAGATATGGAGTATTCTGGTTGATTTTCACCCAACAAGGTAAGCATTACACATTAAAATGCCTCAAGATTATGGAAGCAATACATCTGGAAAATATGACAATATTTTGCAGAGTTTTTAAAAATAAGGTAGATCTATGTACCAACTACAAACAGCTTATTTTTGTTTATGATACAGAAGTGATCCTGAGTCCTTCTAGACTAATTGTGTAATTAGCACATTTAAAATCATATTAAGTTACAGTCTGCCAGAATTCAAGACATTACTTACTGCCCCAACATAACAACCACAGGACTTGAAGTGCCTTAGGCAAATTCTATACTGTTGACTGAATTCATATTAAAAAAAAAAAAAGCAAGAACAAAAGTTTACTTACAGAAACATGAATTAAGAGTTTTATTAATTAGTATCTGAAAAAGCACTAGTAAACAAAGCTGACTGCTGAAGCCACATTAGCTATTGCAAAGCCTTAATTCTACCAGCAGCTTGGAAAAGCCTTTCTATGATTATCAGAATTCTCAACAAGATTGCCAAAAAGATTTTTTTCTAGAAAGTTACCTCAGTTTTCATCAGGTTTGTGTGCAGTTAACAAGTTTTTTGAAACTGGAGAGAAATGAGAGGCAAAAAAAGAGATACCTATGCAAGAGGTGTGTCAATCTAACCAAGGTCTTCACTACCATCAACCATGATTTCTGCAAACTTCAGCTGTCCTGAAAAATTAATAAGTAGTGTTCAGTCATTTCATGGTAGCATGGTAGAAAGGCCTTTCTATTCTTCTACCAAAAATGATAGCCAGCAAAGCCATCTCCCTTGCACCTCTCTTGCTTTGCAGTTTTTACTTAATGATAATTCTTGATGCTCAAAGACATTTTAATGTAAAATAACAGAAATATGCAGTATGCAGGAGCACGTGCTAAATAATGTTGGAGCTACTAATGCATGATCTTCTTACCATAAACTAAGCATTTGCTGTACAAATAATTTTGAGAATGCAGTACTTTACTGTTTCAACCCAAATATCATTCTGCATTATTGGCATATATACATATATATTTACATAGATGTAAATAGAGAAAGTGTGCAACTGTGTATGCATGCAACGACAACGCAGTATTGAACTTCAGAAAAAAATCTTACGTCCTCAATAGCTCCCTTGACTGAGTTCAAGTCACATATGCAATGGCAAAAGCCATTCCAAACTGGGAAAGATAAAACAGCTTACTGAAAATGAAGGCAGTATACTAATTGTATCAAACAACTGCAATCACCCTTCTGTATGGATAAATTACAGCTGCTGGATCAAGCATCTTAATCCAATACTTTCATTTTCCTACTCCTGCTAGCATAAAACGGTGAATTAAGGCCTTGAATGTCAGCTATACAAGAATCAGTAAAGCCTGGAAAATAGATACCTGAAGATATTTATTAGATAGGACTTAGAAGAGAGAGAGATGATCTGACCAATTAAAGAATGCCCAGGAAACGACGCAAGAGATGCATGTGAAGCGTGTGATTTGGATGCACTCTGTCAGGCTTATATTATGGGAGACTACAGTAAAGGAATGACTGATGTGCTTGTACCAAAACTGTCATGACAGCATTAATTATTAGAGACACATTGGAAAGCAAGCTCAACACGTCCCATTTCCAGCTACTGATGCATTCCGAAAAATTGGACTAACATGTCAACAAAGAATTTAAGTTGAACCACTTTCACAAGTCAATGGGAGGCTTCATCAATTTAAGCTGCAGTTAACTAACTTAACTTTAAGTTAACTTTAGAATTCAAACCTTCAAGAGGTTTTGCTCGCAATGTAAATTTTTTGCTTTTCAGCCATAGCATTGACCAAAAGTAATAGAACACACTTGAAAACACAAAGTCAGAAGGAACTTAATAACATTCTTGGAAACAGTAATTTGGGGAAGTAAGGCACACATACAAATGCACATAAGGCACTACTAAATAGAAGGTAACTTATTCTAAAAGTAGAAAACCCCTAAAAGTACGAAAACCTCAGAGGAATTAATCATGAATTTTATACAGGGAGTTGCAGTTAATCTGTGGAGAAATCTCTCACACTAAATCCTCAAACTGGAAATAGCTGGAAAATTAGAGGTGTAAAAAATACACAGAATTCAGAATCATGTATTCCGTCCTCATAGCAGGAATTTAGTTTGCCTCTTTAGATTGCAAAGGAAAAGTTAGACATTAAAACAAACTGCAAACTGAATTCTCAATTCACTGAGATACTTTCCAGTACTTCAGTACTTTTCAAGTACTTGCAGACAGTACTTTCCTAAAAGGGGGGAAACATGGAAACAGTCTTCTGCCAAAATCTTTACATTCTGAAATCTCCCAGCCACTCAGAGGAATTATGGATCAAAGTGAAAGCTCTTTGAGTTTTCATTTCATTTAATGACTTCTTTCCAAGGGGCTTGAACAACATTTACATGTTATACCATGAACAAAATTACAAAGTTTTTAAAATTAAAATATTTCCTGATAGACTGAATTCATTTTGGTCCACTGCAGTTTTAAAATTTCCAGAGTCAGGTACCAAAATTTCAATGTATTCTAAGCAAACTCAAAGTAATGCAACAGATGCCATTTTGATGGCAGTGTAACACCCCAAAGTACCTAGAAAAAAATAGAAAATATTAATTTCTGCTCCACATATAGATTTCATGTGGATTATAGATCAAAAGGAAAGAAACCATCAAACATCCAATCACATACTTGGTGAATCGTTTCAAGTTCACTTCCAAAAATACTGCTCCAGAATAAACTGATTATTTCTTTATATTACAAGAGATTTCATGCTTATCTAAGTTTCAGACTCCAGATCAGAGATAGGAGTAAATTCTGAAGCATGTGTATTATAAAATAAACCAGAGGGAGAAGGAAACGAGTACAGATCTCTAACACTAAATAAAAAGCTACTGAGATGCTTTTACTCCATGGAAATCTTAACCATTCTGTTATATACCAGCCCAAGTCTGGAAGATGTGTTTGTTATGCACTTCCTACGACAGTTTTTAAAGTTGTATATTATGGAGTTTAAGACACAGTGAGAATGCCTAATAAAAACAAACAAACAAACAAAACACCTCTGAATGGAAATAAAGTATACTTTTTTTTAAACAGCAATATTATCTAACAAGTGAACAGAGAGCTACAGCATGCACTGCAATGTTTCCTTCCCCGTCACCAGCTTTCTGGTTTTAAGTTACGAACAAAGGAGACAAAAGAATAGCAAAAACAGCAAAACAGCAACACTCAGTGCTGCAAACATCACAGCTGTTAACAACACAAATCAATTCAGTAGCACATTTGTTTCTCCAGGCTGAAATACTACAAGGTATTAGCAGATTCCTCTTCAATGCAAATTCCTCTCCCATCCTACCCAGTGACCATTTGGCCACTGACATACATGGTCCCACTGTAAATTTACATTATCATGAAAATTCAAGTAATGACAGACCTGAAATTTCTCTTTTGGAATATTCCTTCGAGCTCCTTTTGCTAGAACAAGGGCTTCTTCCACTCTGTGGCTAGCTAGAAGATCCTGAATCTGCTTTTCCAAAGGCAGCGGTACCAAGATATACACACCCTTATTAGTAGCAACAATCACTTTTCCTGGAGAACACAAACAGACATTGATTTTACACTCTTTTTCAGAAAAAAAGAGCAATATTTCAGAAATAGGCTTTAACATTTATGACATAAGAATCTAAACAGGGTTAAAGTTTTAAAACTTATCTTTGCTGTTACTGTATTCCCCAGATAGCACAGCTCACCAGTAATTTGCACTCCAAGCTAATAAACTTATTTATAGCAGATTTTGTCCCGCTCTGAGTAAATGAAGCTGATTATATTTAACTTCTGTAGAACTAAGTCATAGAGGTCATCACTTTAAAATTAGATTCAAGAGAACAGACTTTTAACAGAGAGCCTATTTTCCTCATGCTTGCATTAGGAAATTGTACAGCTGTACTCAAAATGTAAAAAGTAACATGCAATTCATAGTACTAGGGTTTGTAGCTCTCTAGGGAAAAGAATAAAAACAAAACAAGTATGAAATATATTGCATAGCTAGTCTGTAATTGAAGGCTAGATCATTAAAAAAAAAAGTATATTTGTGTTTAACAACTTGTTATAAAATACCTACTTCTGCAGGTCTAGTGGTTGGCAACCCTGCCTGTGGCAGGGGGTTGAAACTTTGAGGTCCTTTTCACCTTGGCCATTCTATAATTCTACGAAGCTTTATCAACTGTTTTGGAAAGGCATCCAAAAGAACAATTTTAAGATACATAAACTTTGCCAGGAGAACAAGTGGACATCTATCTGCAGCCTATAATTACAGACTTGTAACATCTTTAGTTTCTTTCAAAGAACAGTATTGAGTTTCAAGAAAAAACTCTAGGCTCACACACTCCTATTCAACAACTAACTTGAATAAAGTACATTCAACATATTGTTGGAAGCACTGAATCCTAGGTGATGATTTTTTCCCATCACAGCCTGCAGGAACCTAAATGACAAAAAACATTTGCTAAGAAGTTACAATAGTTCACACATTTGATAGATATTTGTTTTTTAAAAAAAAAACCAAAAAAACAAAAAAAAAAACACCCCCTCAAAAAACAACAAATGAAGTGACTACGCTCACAGTGGTGATTGTTCCAGAATTACTGGTACAAAAAGAAAAAAAAACAACTGTTCTTTAGTACCTTCAAAATCCTGTAGAATATGGCCTTCTTTAAATGGCAGGGTTTGCTTTTGCTGCTGGTCCAACATGCTGTGCACTGTAATGAAATCCTCATCCAAAGCAACCACATAGGGAAAGCACAAAGCTGCTCCAATCACGTTCTCCGACCAGTGCACAGGAGCACGCTGCGAAATGCCATCTACAGTTGCAAACATGCCTACAAAAAGAAAGAAGCCTGAGGCTCACACTAATTGAAGAGCATTTCCCCCCACCAGTATTGATAACAAGGTATAGGTTTTAGAAGAACAGATGCAGCATCAGATGGCACAGTGGCAGCACGTCACACCTCCCTGGATCTTACAAACCTGTTGGCTTGTTCAGTTTTGAAGTTGTTCTTTATCCAGCACCCACAGAAATAAATACCAAAATGAATGAAAAGTTGATTGAATGAATGAAAAGAGAAAATATTGAAAAAGCAACTAATCCATAACCCAATTATTTTCATAAAAGTGTCTTTAACAATTATGACACGCTGTTCAAACTCATCCCAAACCATAAATATTTAGTGAGGTTGGATATTCAAACAAAATGGTCTTAGTAAGAGCTGCAGATCTGCACAACCGACCTATCCCGCAATAAGGGCGTATTTGGTCCTTGCAGCATCGTATGCCCAAAGAGCACGCCAGGCCGTATGCAGTGCTTCACTTCTCCACTTTGCCATGCCTAAACTTTCACAGAATGAGATTACAGTTCCTACACAAAAGCCACTTCCTGAAAGGTGCCAGTTTTTCAAACCTCTTAAAAAAATATTCAAACATATAAAGCATATCTTTATTTAAGCCAAACACAGGTTAAAAACATCTTTAATATCCAATGATACCTATGCTGTCTTATCAAATCAATGATATTAAACCCAGTACCTTCAGTTAATATGTATTTTTTTGCTGCTATTGTCCTTTCTTCCTGTCTGTTCTGTTCTTCCTTCTCCTAGCTTAAAAGTATGGCTTGCTTTTGGATCATAAGGCTTTGCTTCCATTTCTTGTACTTAGTATTCACCAATTCTTCTTTCTGAGACTTTTCTACTATTAACTGATGGAAAATTCCAGTCTAGACTTGCAGATGTTGTTCAATAATTCTTTGACAACTGAGCATCATGTAAATTTCTGTTATAAACATGAACACGTACCACTTAACATCACAGAATTCTCACTCCACTAAAAAGACATGCCTATGAATATTGCTCTTCAGCAGGAATGAGCCATTTGGCAGCTGGTAGAATGAGCCTGAGTTCTAAAGGATAGAGGAGATTAAAAGATTCTGTTATTCAATTTACAAAAGCTCTTCCAAACAGAGAATAATGAGGCAAGGGTGAGGTAAGGGTAGCTGGGCAGCAGTGCCACCCTGAAGGGAAATAAACAGACAAAAACCTAACACCTCTCCCTCCCTGACCCCCCAAAAGGGAATACAACAGATGGCTGTAGATTTTTTTTAATTTCATTTTATTTTTATTTATTTAGTTATTTATTTTACACAGAACTATGGTACAGAAACTAAGTTTCTGGATTCTTTAAAGCTGCTTTGAAATTATCAACCCTTTCCTTTGACTAATGGTGCAGCACAGTCATGATTTCACATCTAACTATTAGCACTTTATAAAGCATGTTATTTACTTTCACTGTATCACTTTTTCAAACAGCACACTGCAGAAAATAGTGCTTTGCCACAATATCCTATCCAAACTGACTCGGATATTCTTACACTTCGGGAGCAAAATTTGATGCAAGACTGACTGCACTTTTAATACCTTCCAGTTGTGACTCCTTGCTATCCTGTACTACAATTCCATTTCAAAAGGTGGGAAAAAAATTATATATATCATTAATACTCTGGAATAATTATATTTGAAATAAAAATTGTTAAAATTTTAATATTTCTTTGCTATTATTAAAACACTTTTTTTTCATTATGATTATTTTTAAATCACAGAGCTCTTTTAATTAGTCATTAAAAAAAAAAACAAACCTTTAAGGAAATGAAAAGACAAGCAGAGCAAATCACAGTACTTTTCCAACTCAATATCTGTCTACAGCCCTCAGCTCTCAGCAGCTGAGGCTTCTGAAATAGAACAATGTCATCACTAGTTTTGATCAAACTTTCACCCAGGGATAACAGCAACAGCAGGAAGCCCATGGTTCCTGGTTAAGTACAGGAATGTGCCTTATGATATAGATGAAATCACAAATTGATTTCGTGTTAGAAATGCACGTGCAATCCAGAAGTTATAAAATTGACTCAAAACACAACAATGCTGTTCTTAGCACTAAGAGATCTACAAATCTGTAGAACCACAAAAGCTTAAAGGCTACCAGAGGGCATCCAGTACGACCTCTACACTCAAGAAAGGACCAACTTACATATTTGTCTGATAGACTCTGCAGTGTTTTTATTTGTTTTTAAACAAAAGTTTTAGTGAAAATACCTGGGAAAAAAGTGCAGTAAGAAAAAGCATGATTACTTACTTGCTTCTTTTAAACAACATGAAAACTTTTGGTTATCATAAAAGCTGACAGCAAAAGGAATACTACAAGTGGGTGAAAACAGGGAACATGTTGGTTGCTGTTGACTACTATGCTTTACACACTATCACCAACTGCAAGAAAATGAATTGCATAACCTTTTATGAATCATTCTGCTTAGCACACGTGCCTGTTGCAAGTTATAGGCTGCAGCTGTCCATTTGTAGGCTACTCAATCACTATGCAACTGTTCAACCCACGCACCACAGAGAAGAGTTAATGCTGGAAAAAGAATAAACTATAATTAATTATATAAAATTTATATACGCACTGAAGTTGATTAGATGAAACTGGGAGGGAACCTCCTCACTAAATCAGCTTCGACTCACTTGCTCAAAACCTAATCCAGTCAGGTTTTAGGTATCTTTGAGAACAGACTTACACCCCTTTTCAGGTTTCATCCTTCAGCCACCACAATAATGAAGTTTTCTCTTGAATTTTGGTACAATCTACACAAGGTCTTTCTTCTTCAGATTGAACAGCTTAAGGCTGCTCAGCCCCTCCTCAAACAAAATGCAGCAGTCATCTTTGTATCAGCTACTGCTCTCACTTGCTTATCACGTACAAGCTTACTGTGGGTGCAAGGCATACCACTATCCATGTCATTAATATCAGAATTGTCCTCACTATTGGCCCACTGAGATACACAGCTTGTGACTGAACTGAAGCTGAGCTTTGTGCTGCTGCCTGCAACCCCTGAGTCACGATTTCAACCTATCTCAGTATCTAGCTTGTTCTTCATCTGTTTGCCTGTAAGTGTTATAGGAGGTAGCATCAAAAGCCCTGCTGAAGTCCACATTACTACTCTCTCCTCATCCACCAAGACTACCCGATAGGTCAGACAATTATCCTTTCATAAAACCAATGTTGATTAATCACGATTAATTAAACTCCTCAGACTTTCTTTTCTATGTCCTCTGGCATGGGGTTGCCTGCCCCATTCAGTGGTGGGCAAGCATTTTCCCTAGCCTTCCTTTCCTGTTAATATACTTGTAGAAGTTCTTTTTGTTGTCCTACAAGGTGTCAATCAGATTCAATGCCAATTGGACTTTGGCTTGCACAGTCTCATCACCACATGCATGGATTTTTCTCCATATTTCTCCCAGGTCATCTGCCCCTGCTGCCACCTCCTATGGAACCATATCAAAGTCCTTGCAGAAGTCCAGGTAGATAACATTAGTTGCTCTTCCTATGTCTACTGATGCCATCACTCCATCATCGAAAGCCACCAGATTGGTTAGGCTGTCACAAATCACCTCCTTGTCTCAAATCACAGAATAATATAATCATAGAACCCTTAGAGTTGGAAGGGACCTTAATCTAGTCCAGCTCCCCTGCAATGAACAGGAATATACTTGATTAAGCTTGATTAAGCTGCTCAGGGCCTGATCCAGCCTCACATTTAGTGATGTGTCAAAACCTCTAATATTCCAGGGATAGTTACACCAACTAATGCTGGGAATGTGTACTCTGTGTCAGTAGGTAAGAAACGTTTGTTGAAAATTATTAAATAAAGCCTATGCTGTAAAAAAATCAGATTAGAAGCATGGAATAACAGCTTCCTGAAAAATTGAATTTTATCAAGCAGAGTTTCATGCGTACTCAGAAATAACTGATTTTCAATTCTGTATGTACTAATTACTGGACAGAATGAAGATGTACCAACAAGAAAAGAAAATAAAAATCAAGTTACCACTACTTTTCAGAGCACGAACTATACACTAGCTGCAAGTAGAACCAAAGTACTGAATAGTTCAGTTTATAGATCAACCATGAGCAATTCTAATTTTCACTTTGCTTGAATGTTACGTTAAAGAAACTCAGATATTTTACTTTATGATGATGATTTCAAGCAGTTGCTTGCTGCCAATTCTCAGCTTGTCTGAACTCAAAATCAAGTTACCGTAGTAGACAAATGTCCCTTCAAACCCTATAGACCCAAATATACCAGTGTAAAATATTTCCACCTCAGTAACAAGTCTGAATTCAACACAGATGCACTACTGAGTGCCAAATGAACGTCTTAATTGATAAGATGTACATAAGTGAAACAAAATTGACACTTAAGATTCCTATCAGGCCTTTCCAAGTCCATCCCCTTTACAGCAGTAGCATATCCCAAATGCTGAGATACACGATGTTTGTTTTATAAGGTTGCTTAACCATTTTCTCAACTTCAAAAAAGGCAAAATTCACCAAGAATTCTACCGAAGAAGAACAGCTGGTTACATGGTACTACACAGAACTACAGGAGGAGTAGAACAGGAAACAGATGATTAGAAAAGATCAGAAGATAAGTTTGGCAAGGAAAAGTTATATAGTAAGTAGCAGCCTTACTAAGTCTAAGAGATGTAGATTTGCTTAAGATATCATATCTGATATTTTGAGCACAGGACAATCGAGTTATACAGGAATATTGGTTTCTCTAAGGGCTTTACTGTATAGCTGCCTTCTAGGGAAGCAAATAAAAGTAAAAATCTAACTAAGAACAGTTTTTCCTATTTTTTGAAAACATATCCATTCTTCTAAAAATAAACAAAGAAGTAGACAGATAAAGCCAAAGCAGTTGAACAGAATGGTTCATTCATAAAAAAATATTAAAGAATGAGATCTCCTTAGCAACATGCCAAAAAGGAGTATTTCCAGACAGTCAATTCACAAATTTTAATTTTCACAGCACTACTAAATTGGTTAATGTCCATAAATTTAGGTCCACATCTAAAGCAACAAAGAATTCTAATATAGATGTATAACCAATATAACTTAGAAAAGTCTCAAATCTGAAAAAACAAGTACATCGCAGAACATCATTTCCTAAAGGAGATATTCTAATTAATCTCCATGTCTATCAGGAAAAAACTGGTAAGTTGATATATCTCTTGCATCCTGGTCACAAACTGCAAATTCAACATAAACAGTTGATTACACTCATGCTCTTCTTCAGAATTTATTAAAATAAAAAAAAACAAAAAAAGAAGCACCTAACTATTTGAGATCTATCTGTATTAAACTATTCCTAATATGCTAGGAATGATATACAAACTGCATCTCCTAAACAGAGAGTCAAGGCAAACAGCATGCAAGTATTGTGCCTTTGGTCTGCCAACTCCAGGATACTGCAGCTTTTCCAAAAAAAGCTCAAGATTACTGAACTCACAGCATTTGCTGGTTTAGACAAATTGCAGCAGCATTAATCCTTGAAGTTATCTATTAGGGGAGAGTGCTATTCCTCATGACCTGGCTCTATTTTTGCAAAACTGAAAACTACTGCTAAGAAAAGTAGAAATATTACCACTGGCTACTGTGACAACACTTACAGTTTTGACAGTTTACTTCTGCAGGATTTAGGATGAAGTTTAATTCTCCTAACAGTTCTTACTAGTGTTGCAGTAAAACACACCTATATGCTAATCTTCTACTGCTTACACTGTTAGGCATCGATATAGACATGAAGCTTTCTACTGACATGATTAAGATACAAAGGACCAGATTTTTGTGCATTAAGACAGGAGAGCAATAAAAACGTTCAGTACCAACAATTTACCATTGAACTTTTATCTCAGCATTACAGCACAGACCTGTGAAGAAAGGTGTCATTATTCTGTAAAATACTGTTACTTAAGCTTTGACTCACAAGTTCAAGAACTGAAAAAAAGAGTAAGCTTAGTCTTACCTAGCCCTCCAGGACCAGCCAACAGGAACTCTTGTCTGCCTATTCTTTTCACAATTGGCCGTTTCTCATCGCTGCAGTAGGGAAATAGATCCTGGGAGATGCCAGTATTGTAATTCAAAATTATATACTGTGTAGTAAGTGCAAGACATAAGTAATAACCATCTACAGCCACAGCACAGGGCTGCTCTGGGGTAACCACTTCCTTCACTATCTGGACCCTGTCTTCAAACACCATGAACATTTGAATGGTCCGTCGCTTGACTGAGATGATGCAGACTTCAACACAGAAAGGGTCCCCACTCACAGGATTCTCATTTAATGTGAATGTCACAGCTCCTTTGATTCTAGCGCCCGTGGGAACAGGTTCCAAGTTCATCATATTAACTAGAGTTATTGTGTTATCACAAAGCACAAGAAGCCTGGTGAGTGCAGAAGCTGCTTTCAACTCACTCACAGGCTTCTTGAAGCCCAGGTATTTATGCAGTTGCTTGGTGGCTGCAAAGGTTATTTTTCCAGATGTTGATATCTTCTCATCCAACATAAAGTGATAGATAAAGCAGTCGTTGGTTCCAATATAGAGGTTCTTTCCACAACACTCAATGCATTCAATGTTGATGTGATTTTTGTCTCCCATTAACATCTCCCGCTCAACAGCAGAGACAAGCTTGAAAGCTTTAACGCTCATCGTGTCTTCTGGGTGATCTGATTAAAGAGGAAAAAAGTTATTGACCGCCACACACGCCAGCAAAAGAAATTTAACATTCACCTGTACAGAAGCTGTACTGTAGTATCTTTAATGGTCATACAATTGCTTGAGTTAGACAGGATCCTTAAAGGCCATCTAGTCCAACTGCCCTGCAATGAACAGGGACACCTACATCTGGATCAGGGTGCTCAGAGCCCCATCCAGCCTGACCTTGGATGTCTTTAGGAAATCCACCACCTCTCAAGGCAAGCTGTGCTGGTGCCTCATCACCCTTGTTGTTTAAAAATAAATAAATAAATAAATATCATTATATCCAACCTTCTAGTTTGAACCATTTCCCTTGTCCTATCACAACAGACCGCACTAAAAAGTCTGTCCCCTTCTTTCTTACAGCCCCCCTTTAGACACTGGAAGGCCACACTCAGATCTCCCTAGAGCCCTTTCTCCTCCAGGCTGAACAGCCCCCAGCTCTTTTAGCCTGTCCTCATAGGGAAAATGTTCCATCCCACATACCACTTTTGTGGCCCCCTCCTCCAGCCACAATCCAACAGATCTGTGTTCCTATTTCCAACCAGATTACCCAAGCCAGAATGAGCACATTAACAACCACAGAAATTATCCAAATTCTACAGTTTCACTATACTTCTGCTCTGAAATAGATCCAACACAACACCAGCTATTTTAAAAGATGCTTTCTGCACATTGCTGGCTCTTTCAGACACTGGGGCACTATAAGGATTTTACAAGCATCACCTCAAAAAAGACAGGGAACTCCTAGAAGGAGGGCCACAAAGATTATAAAGAACCCAGAGCACCTCCCATATGAGAAACAACTGAGTAACCTGGGCCTCTTCAGCTTGGGGAAAAGAAGACTGAGAGGGGATGTGATTAATGTTTTTAAATACTAAAGGGAGGTGGAAGGCAAACAGATGAGGCCAGGCTCTCCTTGCTGTTACGTAGCAATAGGACAAAGAGCAATGGCCAAGAACTTGAGCATAGGAAGTTCCATACAAATATGCAGAAGAACTTCTATATGGTCAGGGTGACAGAATACTGGAACAGGCTGCCCAGAGCAGTTGTGAAGTCTCCCTCCATGGAGATACTCAAGACCTGCCAGGACACCTACCTGTGCAACCTACTGTAGAGTACCTGCTTTAGGAGGGAGGTTGGACTCTATCTCTTCAGGTCTCTACCAAACACTGCAACTCTGATCACCTGCTCATGAAAAGATACAAGCTTTGGCTCTCCGATGTCTAGAGAAGCCACAAGGCTTGTAACACTACAAGTTAACATCTGAAGTTGCTTTACTTTACATTTTTTTTTTTTTTAAACCTTTTTTTTTATTTGACAAAATTCAGGCCTAATAGAACTTATACTGAAACATCATATGCAGATTCCATTTACCCCATTTCCTGTTCTTTACTCTGCAATAGTAAACGCCACATGTTATTTTCCATCTACTTTACTAAAGCATCACTCACCAAAAAGTGGTTTTTCTTTCAAATATCAGTGTCAGTTTTATTTGGTGCTATACACAATCTTTATATCAGACTATATGTACTGGCAAGCATTACACAGTCATAGAATCATAAAGATTGTAAGGGACCTCTTGGAATCAAATTCAACCCTGCTGCTAAAGCAGGTTCCCTACAGTGGGTTGCATGGGAAAGTATCCAGGTCTTGAATATCTCCAGAGATTCTACAATCTCTCTGGGCAGCCTGTTCCACTGCTCTGTCTCTCTCACAGTAAACAAGTTCCTCTTTGTGTTGGCATGGAATTTCCTGTATTGCAGCTTTTGTCCACTGCCCCTTGTCCTGTTGCTGCACGCCACTGAAAAAAGCCTGGCATCATCTACTTGAATCCTGCACTTCAGGTATTTATAAGCATTGATGAGATCACCTCTCAAACTTCTTCAGCCTAAACAGACCCGGGTCTCTCAGACTTCCCAGGCCCTTAGTAATCTTTGTGGTTCTTCACTGGACTCTCAAAGTTCCTTATCATTCTTGAACTGAGGAGCCCATAACTGGACATAGTACTCCAGATGTGGTCTCCCCAAGGAACAGGAGATGGGGAGGATAACCTCCCTCAATATGCTGGTTGTACTCTTTTCGATGCATCCCAAGACAGCGTTTGTCTTCTTGGCACACTGCTGGCTCATGACCAACTTCTTACCCACCAGAACACCCAGGTCCTTCTGCATAGAGCTCTTTTCCAGCAGGTCAGCCCCTAACCTGTACTGATGCATGCAGTTATTCCTCTCCAAGTGCAGAACCTTACACTTGCTTTTATTGAAGTTCATCAGGATCCTCTCTGCCCAAAGGCACAGCCACACATTACTTAGAATGCATGGCCCATACAGCACTCACTAAGCTCAAGAATCAAAATTACTGAAGTCACAAGAGTTTTCATTTATTATTACCACAAGCAATCCAGAAGATAGACTTTAAGCGCTAGGTAGCACTTCCAGTTCTGCAATCCATACCTTCCCTTTCACAACCAAGCACTGCCAGACGACTGATCCAATTTATGAAGCAATTAACACCGCTTACAAATCAGCTCAGGTAATTTTACAGTACTCTTGTCTTACTTCTATAAGGAACCAGAAGACAACTCTGCTGAACTGCTGACCGTAATTTATCACAGAACCATAGAATGGCCTGGATTGAAAAGGACCACAATGATCATCTAGTTTCAATCCCCTTGCCATGTGCAGAGTCACCAACCACCAGACCAGGCTGCCGAGAGCCACATCCAGCCTGAATCATCCACTCCCAAGGCCTCCCCTCAGCGTTTACCCCTCAGCAGTGAAACCAAACTGCCGGCTCATTACTCCTGCCCTCCCTGGGCGCAGGGACGACCCAGTATCAGTTAACTGTGCGAGGCGGGAGCTCTCCCCATCCCCCAGGTTGTACCTACTGGGCATCCAACTCCCGATACAGCAGCACACCAGCAGCAACCGGCCTGCTGCAGGCAGACACGGCCGAAGCAACGTCCTGCGTGACGGCTTCAGGCTGTCGGGGCGGCTTCCGTGCCGCAGGCGCCTCGCCCACCGCCCGCAGGCCACAGCCTCAACCTCACATCCCCTACCCGACCCGCGGTACCTGCGAGCGCCAGGCGCCGCTACACCAAGAACCGAACCCGCCGCACCGAAGCCTTGCCGGGGCCAGGGCCGGGGCCGCGCCGGGCCTGAGGCCGCGCTGTCAGCGCCAGAGCCTGGCCGGCCCTCCGCTTCCGGTGCCGCTGAGGCCCCGCCCGGAGCCAACGTCACCGCGTCCAACGGGGTGAGAGCGGGGCGGACACGGCGCCTTTCCCGTCACGTGGTGGGCGGGGGCCGCCCCGGCTCCACTCACTGAGGGCGGGGCTGGAGGTGCCTGCGGAGCGCGGGTGGTGGGTGCGTGGAGATCGTGCGTTAGCTCGGAAATACTGGGAGCTGCATTGTACTTCTGGGTTTACACTGAGATCTGCCTGCGGGACTCTAGCAGCAAAATGAAGATACCATTCAGGGTCTGGGCTTGTTCTAAATTACAAATTCTACAGTTAAAGATGAGACTTGTCTCCAGTCTACTGGGATAAGTAAAGACTGACAAAGCAGTGTTACAAAAATAGAAAGGAAATCAGTCGTGAAACTCACCAGAAGCTGTATCTGAATACAGCATGTGGAATAATGAGCAGTAAATGCTACTACATTGCTTACTTAGTTAAACTGGTGACAGGACAAGAGGTAACAGCCCTAAATCACACCAGGGAGGGTTAAGAATCACAGAATCACAGAACGGCCAGTCTTGGAAAGGACCTCAAGGATCATGAATCTCTAACCCCCCTGCCACAGGCAGGGCCACCAACCTCCCCATTTAACACTAGACCAGGCTGCCCAGGGCCCCATCCAACCTGGCCTTGAACACCTCCAGGGATGGGGCATCCACAACCTCTCTGGGCAGCCTGTTCCATCACCTCACCATTCTCTTTGTAAAGAACTTCCCCCTGACATCCAACCTAAATCTTCCCTCCCTCAACTTCAAACCATTTCCCCTTGTCCTGCTGTTATCTACTCTTTCAAAGAGTTGATTCACCTCCTGTTTGTAGGCTCCCTTTAGGTATTGAAATGCTGCAGTGAGGTCACCCCGCTTAGAAAGAGTGGTGAGGCAGTGGCACAGGCTGCCCGGGGAGGTGGTGCAGTCGCTGTCCCTGGAGGTGTACAAGAACCATGTGCATGTGGCAATGAGAGATGTGGTCAGCAGGCATGGTAGGGGTGGGCTGATGGTTGGACTGGTTGATCTGAGTGATCTTTTCTAACATTGCTCATTGCTTTTGCTTCTTAATTAGCAGGAGAGAGGGTGATATTGATTATCTGATATGATTATCTGATAGTGATAGGGCAAGGTGGAATGGCTTTAAACTAAAAGAGAGAAGACTTGGATAAGGTTTCAGGGAAATTCTTTACTCAGAAGGCAGTGAGGCGCTGGCACAGCTGCCCAGAGAAGCTGTGGTGCTCCAACCCTGCAGGCGCTCAAGGCCAGGTTGGATGGGGCCCTGGGCAACCTGAGCTGGTGAAGGGCAGCCCTGCCCATGGCAGGGGGTGGTCATGGCTGGGCTGTGAGCTCCCTTCCTATGCAAACCATTCTGTAATACTATTATTTAAATAACTTGATATCAGGCAGAAAAACCACAAGTGTAGGACATCAAGGTACCAGTAAGTACTTGAAATGACATTTTGTGTTATAACAGCAATAAAATTAATTTAGTAACGTAATTCCCTATTCTTCTTCTAAACGGACAAGCAGTTTACAACTTAACAGCCAGTTATATTACTTCCAGATTACAAAGGAACTTTTGCTACTGCAGATCCACTAACATTAACTACAGTTAGTGCTTCTACGGACGAGGTTCAGTTTTGATTTAATTCAGTAACAAAGCTACAACAACATAAATATTCTTCCACTTTCGTATGCAGAGGAGTAAACCCAAGCGTAACACAGCCACTCGCAGCGTACTGCAGAGCTCATTGGCTGAGGTTACGTCACGCGCCTGGCGTTACTTCCGCCGTTAGACCCGCCCCCCCCGCGCCCGGCGGCCTTGTGGGAGACCGGAAGTGGGCCGCCAGGGGAAGAAGATGGCGGTTCAGGGAAGGGGTCGGGTGGGTGGTGGTAAGGAGGAGTGTGTGTCGGGGCGTTCGGATTCGGAGCTGTTGCTGCACCCGGAACTGCTCTCGGAGGAGTTCCTGCTGCTTACTCTGGAGCAGGTGTGCCTGAGTATCACCCGAATGCGGGGCGGGGTGGGAGGGAGGTAGCCCTGACTCTTCCTTGGGGGAGGGAGGCCTCCGGCCCCGAGAGTTGTTGTGTAGGATGAATACTTGCTTAAAAAAGGGTGTGCAGCCTGTGAGCTATCCATGTGTTTTCAGAAGGCTCAGTTTGAACATTATCATAGCTACTGGAGACCAGTAATCCAAATTGATACGTCTGTGAAGCAGCACTTGCATATGGTGACACTACCTGTGAAGAGATGGCTTTTTCTCTCTCAAAATTGGTACATGCACCCTATGTAATCAATTAAGTTAATTTTTAAGTGTACCTAATTGAAAAATTTGAGTCTGAAAGTGAACTATAGCCTATCTTGAATATGTGAAGTTTCAGTGGATGTAATTTTGAGTTCTACAAGTTTGAGGTGAGTGAAGCAATAGTCATCTAAGGCTTCTGTATGAGCTTGCTGAATTTTTGTGTACTCTTGAGTCATAGAATATCCTGAGTTGGAAGTGATCCACCAGGATCATTGAGTCTGACTCCTGGTTCTTGAACATGTACTTTATGTGCGCAGGAGTGTAAAGATTTTAGGCCTGTATTAGAAGTCATAAAACGTTATTAAAACCAGTGGTAGCAGAGATTTGACCTGTTACTGATGAAGTCGGTGTTTTTTTTTCTTTTAATAAATTCAATAGAAGACACCAAACACTTGTTTTCACACCCCTTTGTATGAGTAGAGAGAAGATTGGTTTTCTCTTATAACTGCCAGTTACTAGGAATCTCTCTTATCACCTTACATGTAGGGAACTGGGGAAGCAGAGCTCTCCATCTGGGAGTTTGAACTGCATTATGCTTCAGTTGCCTGGTTTTTGGAAATATTAAAGAGAGCTCCAGTGCTGTAGTTGGATTCAGGGTGGCACATTCAGGTGTGTAAAAATCTCAGTTATTAACTCTAGGTCTATAGCTTACTTTCTCTTGTATAACTATTCACTAGGGAAAAAATTATAGAGTTCACATAATGATTGTCTGTGGGGATTTCCTGTGCGGGGGAAGATACTGAACTGCCCAGCGCTGGTCACAGCTGGGTCTGATTGTCTGACAGTAGTGAAAGCAACACATCGTGTACCAGAACTTCAATCAGTAGCATGTGATACTGCTCGAATGTTCTTCACACTGGGTGGCAGCGTCTGGGGAAGCAGAAGGCACAGTGAGTGTGGTGGAGTAGACAGATGAGCACGCAGAGGAAAATGAATCCTCCATGAAAAACTGAAGTTCTTGGGGATGTGACTGGGAACCACTCTTAAAAAGACTCTCTGTGCAGTGCCTAGGTATGCCTCTGAGAGGGCTCCAAACTGTGGAGAACCAAGATGAGAGAAAGGAATGCTCTAAGTAAACTGTGTCCTATAGAGAAAAAGATCCATAATAGGTCAGTGGAAAATGCATAAGGAGTAAGAGATAATGGTCATTAGACAGAGGCTTAGGAAATGCTTCTTTCCTAGTCTCAACTTTTCTTATTTCCACTGTGGATCACACTTGACCCTCCTGGATCTTTCCATAAGTCAGTAGGAAGTGCAGGACATGGGGATTAGCATGTGAGGGTTTCTTTTTATGAAAGTTAGCTGATCTTTTCATGTGTGTTTTCATATGTGTTCTTCTCTGTCTCCTTTTGTGTGCTCTGTCCTAGTGGCTGCTTCTTTTTGTTAGAAGTATTTGAGCAGAAGTGCTGTGTTCTTTTCTGGTTGTCTGAAGCTTTGGTGTGCAGTGGGTTGTTTTCATCATTTTCAGAGTTGTCTGGAAATGGCTGTCATTGGCCCAGTGCAGTTTATGGCCTCCCACATAGTTCCTCCCTGGAGCACTGTCACTTCTTAGACCCCAGTGTATTGGTCTTAAACTGCTTCAGAATGACTTCTGAATTATGACATTTTGCCATTATACTGCTAGTGCTTTGAATTTGTCATAACAACAGTTGTTTTTTGTTCTGCTCCCCACAGAAGAATATATTGATCAAAAATGATGTAAAGATGGACAAAGATGGGCTTACAGATCTCTATATTCAACATGCCATTCCCCTGCCTCAGCGTGACTTACCAAAAAGTAGATGGGGGAAAATGATGGAAAAGAAAAGACAGCAAAATGAGTCAAAAAGTGAGAATAAAAGGTAATTTAACATACAGTGGGTTAAGTTGGAGAATTTGAAGAAATGCATTTAATTTGCTTTTTATCAGTCTGATGATTACCACTTGTACAGGTTTTGAATGTTGTTAGAGTTTATAAAGAATGCTGTTAGATCTTCTGTGTCAGAAATGTTAGATTCTGCTACTGTGATACTGGGGAAAAGGGAAAGATTGTTTTGTGTCATCTGAATGTTGTTTATGATAACTAGTTAACTTGCTTTTTCTGGGTACGTTTCAAAATACTTTCTAAAGAGCAGAAAAATAAAGAAAAAAATACATTATTTGCTCCACCTTTTAAGGTGAATGGTGTTTAACACAAATATGCCAGAAACATATTTAACTTTGACTGCTCACTGAACAGAATTGGTCTGCTGAATCAGGAAGGTATGCTGCAGCAGTTTTGTGTGTCCAGTTCAAAATGAGCATGATCTTCCTGAAAGAACCATTCTGCCTTACATGTAAAACCATTTTTTATATCTGATCAGAAAGCAAAATCTTCTCAGATGTATAACTGATTTTTTTTCTCCCCACAGCCTTTTGCTTTGATGCGATATGTATGGGTGGGAGTTTGATTTAATTCTGTCAACAAATGCTAAAGGAAAGGTGGATGTAAATTCTTCTAATACATTTATATAGTATTATAGCTTGTTAAATGCACGAGTCTGCTTTATCCTTACTGAAGTTTCTAAGAAGGAAGAGCTAGATAAATTCTGGCAAGTGAATATTTTTTCTTAAAGCAATGGCTAGGGTACTAAATTGTCTTTTGGTATTTT